GGAAATAATGATTCTTATGTTTGAGGGAAAGTAAGAATTGAAAGAGAAGTATAAAGTAATATGAAAAGATCATGTGCCTTAAAGTACATATAAGAATTAAGAAATGATGAAAGGTTAAATGTATATGATTGGTTAATTAAGGCTTGTGCTCTAGATTGAACAATTGTTATTGACTAGCCGTAAGAGTAAAGGTGATAGAGTTAAAAAGATTGGAAGAAAAGATAAAGTGAGTTAATTAAGTATGATATGGATTTGAATATGGTTTTGTATTTGAATTATATAGATATGGTGAAGACAAAGAGAAGAGTATTTACAAGTTTTAAAGAGAGCTTTGAGGGAGAAAATTATAAGTGCAAGATATGGTGAAGAATAAGGTTCTGTATAAGTAAAACTGATTATTAAAGTTATAAAAATGGGATAAAATTGTGAAAGCAATATAAGAACATTAAAAGATATGTTTTTATTGGTATGTACAATGAAAATTCGAGGACGAATTTTCTTAAAAGGAGGGGAGATTTGTAACATCCTCAATACAGGGTTAGTGACTAAATTGTAAAAATTTAGAATTTGGGGATAAAAATAGAAAAGTTGAATAGTTCAATGATTTACGTGGAGATATTTCCTGAAAGTTATTAGTAATTATTAAAGGAGATTAAGGGCAAAATGGTCTTTGATATCTAAAGATAATTATCTTATCTCTTTATTAAGAGATAAGCTTGCGGGGAGAGTTATCTGGAAAACTCTTCTCCCTTCTTCTCACTTCTTCGTCCTCCTCCACGTGAGAGCTCAAGCAAAGGTAATATTTCTTGTTGTTGATTATTAGCTGAAATTTAAGGTTGAGTTTTGATTATTAGGTGATAATTAAGCATAAGAAGAGCTTAAATCATCTTGAAACAATAAGATGAAGAGAATAGAGGGAATTAAAGAAAAGAGAGGAATAAGTGGAATCTTGAAAGAGGGTTCTTTAATGAGGTTTTAGAGTGAATTTGACTTGTCATCAATCTAATTAACATATATGAAGTGTTAGAATTGGATTTGTAACATGTTAAAATTTGGGTATGATTCTTGAATTTTTTAAGGAGAATAGGATATGGAGGTTAAAGAAGTGATTATTGAATATAAATGAGTGCAAATATGTATATGTAAGTTAGGAATATGAAAGGGGATGAAATATGAAGCATTTGAGTTGAATTAAATGGATTTTCGGGATTAAAATGCAAATTATGGGCAATGTGTATCGATGCATATTCAATGTGCATCAATGCACTCTTTAAAGAAGAAACATCGAATGTAATTGGTGAATCGATGCATAAGGAGTGCATCGATGCATCCCTTTAAAAATGAAAACATCAAAGGTAATTTGTGTATCGATGCATGGGTAGTGCATCGATGCACATGTTAAAGAATGCATTGATGCACTGTAGAATGCATCGATGCACTTCAAGGGGAAATTAAAATAGACATTTCTTTTGGTCTAAGAAATGATAGATTAGTGTATATCAATTGGATATTGATATGTATCAATGTATGATTATATAGAGATCGAGCACGAACAAGTCCGGGTCGATTGGCAAGTTAAGATTTGATCGAAAGAGAGGAAAATCATAAAGTGTATTGGAACGTAGTGAGGCCAAGGTGAGTGTAATTTCATTGTACTTATGTTATAGAATAAGCATTGGCTTGCGATGAGCCAGTGACGGAGTTACTATGGTAAAAAGTAACTCGTAAAATGTTATTTGATTTGTGAATTCTATGTATGCATGAGTATATGTAACATGATTTATATGATTCATATGATATGTGATACTGAACTACATGAATATATGAGAATATTATATCAGTGGTGTGATATATTTGACATGTTATTTTATGTGATACGTGTTTACCTGATCACAAGACATGAGTTATATGAAAGAGAAAGTATATGTGATACGTGAAAGTGAATCATATGTTTATATGAAAAGTGACATGAATTACATGAAAGTAAACTATATGACTATATGCACATGTGATATGTGACAGAAGAAAAGTAATATGTGATCATAAGAGCAATGAAAGTGTAAGTGAAAATGCCCATGTTATGTGTATTGAGAGCTAGAGGTATAGTTGGAGTCAAGGGTTTACCTATATTCTAAGGAACATATGGACAGTTTACCTAGGTTCTTCGGGACCTATGGATAGTTACCGAGGATCTTTATGACCCCTGGATAGTTACCGAGGATCTTTATGACCTCTGGATAGTTACCAAGGATCTCTATGACCTCTGGATAGGTCCTTCGGGACATTTATACGAGTTGTGGTGACAACATAGTGGTGCACAATCTCAATAGACTCACGTATCTACAGTTCTCACATGTGTACATATGCTAATAAAGAGATAATTATGAAATCAATGTATGTGATATATGTATATGAATTGCATGATATGATATATGTGTGATATGGGTTATTGTATCAATTACATGAATATATGTTGATGTATATGTGAGTGAGTATAAATGACTTATATATGATATAAGAATTTGTTATAAGTTATAGAATATGAATGTAAGAGATCATATGAATAGGAGATAAGAGATATGAAGTATAATAGTATAGGAGCAAGATAAAAACATAAATGATGATATGTATGTAATTGTTATATGAAAAGCATATAAGTGAGATGATTTGATGTGATGTGTATGATATGATAATAATAGTTGTTCCTGCATGATTACAAGTTAGAGTTTACATTATATATTTATTCGTCTCACTAAGTCATAGACTTAGCGTGTGAGTGTTTCACACGCAGGTTCTTACAAGCTTATGGATTGTTGAGGTGCAAGTCAGGTCAACATCTTTCCTTACAAAGTTTCAGATAAGAAAATAGATGATTTAAATGTATTTTATGGTATAAAAGTCTAGTTGACATGTATTTAAAAGATTTGAATTGTATAAGCTCTGAATAGTTCTGTAAACGTTTTGAATAAGTTATATGTTATAAAAGTTTTTAAATTACTCACTATTTATACAAGTTTTTAAATTACTCACTATTTTATACAAGTAAATGTTTTAAAAAGTTAATGTGACATCTCAGACTCGGATCCAGGTCGGATTTGGGTTGGGGGTGTTACAGATACAACAGACTTAATGCAGACCCTTGTGCTTATTTCAAGAGGTCTGATGATAACAATTTTGTTATATTGTTGTTGTATGTGGATGACATGTTGGTTGCAGGACCCAACAAAGATCATATTGACGAATTGAATGCACAACTGGCTAGGGAATTTGAAATGAAGGACTTGGGATCAGCAAACAAGATTCTAGTAATACAAATTCACCGAGACAGAAGTAATAGGAAGATTTGACTTTCACAAAAGAATTATTTGAAGAAGATTTTGTCACGATTTAACATGCAAGATTGTAAGCCAATTTCTATCTCTCTTCCTATTAACTTCAAATTATCCTCCAGTATGAGTCCTAGTAGTGAAGAAGAGAGGATGGAGATGTCTCGAGTACCGTATGTATCAGCAGTGGGAAGTTTAATGTTCGTTATGATATGCACAAGACCAGACATTGTGCAAGCAGTGGGAGTGGTTAGTCGGTACATGGTGAATCTAGGCAAAGAGCATTGGAATATAGTAAAGAGGATCTTGAGATACATCAAAGGGACCTCAAATATTGCATTATGTTACGGAGGATCAAACTTACTAATCAATGGGTATGTAGATTCTGACTATGCAAGGGATTTGGATAAAAGCAAATCTACTACAGGATATGTGTTCAAAGTTGCTGATGGAGCTGTAAGCTGGGTTTCAAAATTGCAGTCAGTTGTGGCTACATCCACAACAGAGGTAGAACATGTAGCAGCTACACAAGCAAGTAAAGAAACAATTTGGTTGAAGATGTTATTGGAGGAGCTTGGGCACAATCAAGAGTATGTCTCTCTGTTTTGTGACAGTCAAAGCGCCTTGCATCTAACAAAGAATCCATCATTTAATTCAAGGACAAAGCACATACGAGTTCAGTACCATTTCATTCGTGAAAAGGTGGAAGAAGGGACAGTAAATATGCAGAAGATCCATACCAAAGACAACATAGCAGATTTCATAACGAAGGCGGTCAATGTTGATAAATTTACTTGGTGTCGATCCTCCTGTGGCCTGTCAGAGACGTAAGCAACATGTAGGTACAACGTAGAAAGAATGGTATTAAGATATGATTGTTCCAATCAAATCTTCAAGTGGAAGATTATTGACTAAAGCACCGAAAGGTGCACAATGGGTTTTGTGGAAATTTGGAAAATGGTAAAATCATTTTTAGTCATTGTAATTTAGGGTATTTACAAATTAGTCCTTAAGATTCAACTATAAATACCCTAGCTCATTTAGCTTCAAAACCATTTCAAAGCATTCTATCTTTCTTCCAATACTAGAGAATTTAGAGAGTTTCTTGAGAGTTGTTTTCTCATTTTTATCAAGAGAGAATTATCATTGTTTTCTCCTTAGTAGATAGAGAAAAGTTGTAATTCCTATTTTCTCATAGTGAAATTCTTTTACCGTTGCCATTGGTTTTTACCCTATAATATTTAGGGATTTTCCACGTAAATTTTGTGTCTCTTTTATCTTCATATTTTATTTTCTCAAATTATTAGTTGCGATTTTACTCTATTCGATAGCCGTCTTCCGCAACATGGGGATCTTTTATTTTGGAGCGTGATTAAGGGTTGCAAAATTATTCTTGTTCTGGACTGCTAAACTAGAAAGAATTAAGAAAGAAACTCTTTAAATATGTCATGTGTGTTGAAAATCCAAATAAATTTTGTTTTACAGTTGTTTACATGATATGACTAGTTTTGATTTCCCCCCGCCCCTTGTTTCTTTCCAAATGCTCTGTGCATCTCCATTTTTCATACGTATCATTGTTCTTTGTCTGTTTCAGCTGCACGGGGAGTGATGGATATTTATTTTTCCAGTTGATCTAATTTCACTCTGGACTGATGTTGAATTCTTTGGGTCTAGGTACATGATATTGGCAACAACTATAGTGTCGAATTTCATAAAATATTGTTTCTATGTGAGTGACATGCTTATGGAAGGACAATGGGAGAAAAAGCCTGTCTATACCTTCTACTTGGAGCTCATCCAGGACTTGCTTCACTTGTCTATGTATTTATTCTTCTTTCTTGTGATTTTCATGTAAGTAAACCTTTTCTTTTTAGTTTCTGCACGATCGCATATATGTTTATTTAATTTATGTGCATAAATAATTTTTCTGTTGGATTATGTTCTAATGCATGAGGTTCTCTAAAGCTTTTTAGGTAGAATGCTACACTTTATGTTAGGAGTTTTTATCATGCTTCAGATCCCATTCAATCGTCTTGACATCATAGAATAGGTTTTAAAGTTGAAGGATGGCATTAGGCATGTGGTATGCAATGAGCTGATTGGATGTCAACCTAAGCTCAAATACTGGTGTATGATGTAAATATGTGTGTATAACTGTATATATATCCTATAGATTGATCAATGAAATGGTTGTGAGTTTTTAATTTGTTTCTGCAGGAATTATGGTGTACCACTTCACTTAATACGGGAGCTATATGAAACCTTTAGGAATTTCAAAATTCGTGTGGCTGACTACATGCATTATAGGAAGATCGCTTCAAATATGAATGATAGATTCCCAGATGCAACCCCTGAAGAGCTCACTTCGTGAGTCAACTGTTATTTTTTTCATGAACTCAATTTAATTTTTTAGGAATCTTTTAATTGCATGTTAAATTCTGGATTCTTAATTACTTACCGATCTGATGGTCAGAAACGATGCAACATGTATTATATGCCGGGAAGAGATGACCACAGCGAATAAGTTAATTTGTGGACATCTTTTTCATGTGCACTGTCTTCGATCGTGGCTGGAGAGACAGCATACCTGCCCTACATGTAAAGCTCTGGTTGTACCACCTGAAAATGGAACAAGTTCATCTGGAGGGCAACATGGACCTTGGTCAGATGCTCAAGGACAGGGTAACCTCATTGTAACATCATCTATAATAAGATGAACTCTTTCTTTGAAGATTTTGATTTTTTTTTTCAATAAATTTGAATTGTTGTATGCTACCTGTTAGTTTTGCTTTCTGGTTTTTGAGATAGTAGAGATAATCCATGAACAAATTGCCAAAACCTTTTGGAACTTTGTTGCTTTGTCCTAGGTATCTTATAAATCAGTGGATCCTTTAAAATTTTCCATCCATTATTAGCTTAAATTTAAGTTATTTCTCTTTTTGCTTGCTATCTATTTATGCCTTTTTGAACTGCATGTGAACTAGCTAAGGCCTGTGCCTCTTATAAGGTGCGGAAATGCAAAATGTCCAAGGGTTTTACTCGTGCTTCATGGCATGCATCTTATTGTGGTGCATTACTTGAAGGCTTTTTCTCCCGAATTCTATGTTAACAACGTCCGTGTTTTGGTCTCAAATTTTGGGGGAATAACCTGTTCCATATCCTGGTATTTTATACCACACAGCAGCAGTTAAGCTGATTTAGGTCAATAAGAATTGGGATTCGGGCATTAAAGAATTACTTGGCTCAGTATCGATATTGCTTCACTTCTAACTTTCATAACTTATAAAACTTACATTACTGTTTGAGAAACGTCAGCTAATTGTTTAAAGTGGAAACAGGGTCCGGCACAAGTTCAGTTAGATAAGGTTCTGGTGGTGGTGACATGGCCACTGATAATTTGACCCAGCATCAGGCTTCAGCTTCAATATATGAGAGATCCTACGTTTATCCTTCTGCGAACACTCTAGTTTGGTAGGTAGTTTTGTACTTGTAATACTGCATGTCAATGAGATTTGAAGTTTCCTGATTTTGCCGGCTTTATAATCTTTCCTCGTTTTTTCCATGTGATGTTTTATCCGACAATTGCAGTGCACTAATTATTAATTATTGCATTTTCAGAGAGCAGTTTAGCTCTTTTGAGCACAAAAGAAAAGAATAACGTCAAATGTATTAATAAGACAATTCATTTGGCTTCTGGGTTGTACAAAGTTGTGCATGTGTGTGTTTAAGATTGTTAAATGATAATTCGGTAGTGAAATGTCTAACCCCGTTTGAAAGGGAGCAATTCAGCTATACTTCTATTAATACAGAACATGTTGCATTGCAATGATAGCTTTCAAAAGCTGATAAGTTGTTCATTGGTTCAGACGCTCCTCTAGATCGTCATGGTCTTTGCACTTACATCTTCTCTGCATTCTGATTGTATATTGATGCCGATTCTGATTAGACTCCCAAGTGCATTGGTTGGTTACATCGATTTAAATGTTACATTGTTGTGCATTTTATATGCAGGTCTCCTGGATATGTTGTACTTCCTAAGGCTCATGAGTCATTGACCGAGTCCATGGGAGAACAATTTGTCATTCCTGATGGACAAGCTAACATGTCCTTTCCACAGCTCCCATTTTTTCCCTTTCCAATCACCTTTTGCTGATGGAAACTCGGGAGAGGCATCGAGCAGCAACCCGAACATTCCGGCTTCGCAATTGGAAGCTCAGTAGAAGATAATTCAACAGCGGATTGAGGTATCCCTCATGTATTAATCGGTTCTATTCTCGCTTTCTCTTTTATTTCTTGTACCCGTCGTAGGATATACGGATTTTTCTAGCTCGCAACATTTGGTCTACTTATACATACGTACAATTCATTTATATAAATGTGTAATTCGCTGGCATGGCACGAGATTCCAATGTCACAACCAAACATTTTTTTTTTCAGGATAACCTCCTAATTTGCCTCTTTTGTTCTGTTCCAAAACCGAATAGGTGCTGCAACATCAGCTCGAACTCCTACAGATGCATAAGCCGAAAACCGAGGGAAGCATGGATGCCGGTCTCACCGCCTAGTTGGATAGAAAAGGAAAGACAATTTCTTCGTCTTCTTCGAGAGACTGAAGAGAAATACATACCTCTTTCACGATTCTATTTTTTATTTTTTAAATCGAAACAGACCCTACTAACTCTGTTGTGATTCTGAAGACAATTTAAAGCAGCAGAAAATGAATCTCGAACCGATCCGAAACTTGAACTAAGAATCGGATGAATGGGACGCGAAGAATTTTGAATTTTAAACTATAAACTGTAAATTCGAAAATCCATTAAAAAAAAAGGAGCCCATGCCCATGTGTGTATTTTGAAAAACCATGATCCAGTAATGGAGAATAACCGACTTCAGCCTATATATATAGACATAAACTCCTCTATGAGAAATCCCTATTCTTATCAACAGATAGCACTTATTTTCTTTTAAGATTGCTGATATTAGTTTCGAGGACGATGACGGCGACCATCACCTATGTTTATTGCTCTCATTGTCTCCAGTTTTCCAAGGCTGCCATTGAAGCTAAATTCTTGTAAGCACCTCCACTCGTTTTTATTTTAAATTCCTTTATTAATTTATATGTTGATGGCGATGAATGTGGGATTGATCCGATTGTAGTTCGTGTTCATCTTGCGGGAAACTGGTGAGCGAGGTCAGTGTAAAGGGAAATTCTTCGTCGGTCATGAGAAATAAGTTTAAAAGATCCGGAAAAGCCTCGAAGATTATTAGACCTAACCTTCCTCGTGTATCGGATGACAAGATTGAACGTTTCTAATTTCTTCTTCTTCTTCATTTTTTGAAGACTATTTGTTAATTTCTGTATCATTTAGTTTTCTTTCAAGTAACAATTGATCACGAACTGACTAAGAAACAGCTCTTCATAGATGTGAATGTGATCAAAGAATGCCTTATTTTTTTACCCAATCGAAATCCTTAAAGAAGGATTGCACGAGAAGAAAATGTTTTTTCCGGTCAAATGTCATGTTTTATGACTCATAAAATAAGAAATAAATCGATTGAATCGGGAATGAACAGATATAACGGTTTAAATATTAATATTGGAGCCGGTGACCATTGAACTGTCTAAAATACATTATCTTTCTCCCACTAAACTTTAACATAGAGATCTTAATAGTCAAAAATAGATAATTTTCCAAACATATTATTAAAAAAAATTCAATCAAATAAAATATATTTATTTAAAATACTTGAAAAGTATAGTCAAATTTCAATACTTTTGGCCAAATTATTAACTTGACCTGAATGGATCAAATTGCAAGATTGCCGGACGAATATTTTTTTAAAATGCATGATTTATATAAATATAAACATTACTTATTAATTTTCTTTTTGTGTTCACGGATAGAATCAAATTGATATTTCAAAAAAAAAAACCCATCATAAAAACTTAAGAACATAACAACAAATTAAATGCAATAATATGGCATAAAATGAAGATTAAAATCCGAGGCTAATATGTTTGGAGAATTGCATATTATGTATGAATTTTATCATAAAGGTGAAGCGTGATATATGTTGGAAGCTTAGAGGCATATATAATATGTAACCATAACAGATGTTATGTCTTCACCTTTGAGTCAATGCTCCGTTTACTATGCCAGACACTGTTATTCCTATCACCGTCCACCAGATTCTTCTTGGCAGCAACCGAACACCTACCACTTCGTCCACCCTTACCATTCATCTCGATCTGAAGTCTGCGCCGTCTCATTCTATTCTCCAAACGTATTCCTCTTAGAGCACGGGCCCTCTGCTCGATTTCTAATGCTTGCGAGAAGTTCCAAATACGAACAACACCTTCCTCACCGCCACAAACGATTCGATCTGCTCCAATGTCGACCGAGAATAAATTGCACCCGAATCCATGCAGCATTCTCTGGGGTGGTTCTATAGTCTTTTGGTCGGATTCTTTAAACCTTGGAACTCTTTTCCCTATACTGGCCCTCAACAACTTTCGAACATCAATTAGAGCGAGCTTCCCGTCATTGGAAGCTGACACAAGCCAAGGGAACTCAAATGCGAGGGCATAAACAGCTCCTGAGTGAGGAATCCATGTTGCAACCTTCACGACTCTATGTTCCTTAGACTCGGTTATGATCTCGAACATATGTACTGCCCCATCTTCTCCTCCGGTAAAAAGGAAGTCTCCAGTGCGGCTCCGTGCTAAGGCATATGTATAACCGACGTGAACATTGTGAATCACACTTAACAAAGTCCCACTATTAGTCTCCCAAACATACACATCCGAACCTGCCGTGCTAGCAACAGTCGTGTCGTGAGGAACAAGGCTCCAAACCCAGTCACCATGCCTCAAGATCTGTGTGCACTTCAGTGTCGACCGGTTCCACACACGAACAGTCATATCCCAAGAACCGCTATAAATCCTAGTAAGGTCCAAAGAAAGAGAAGTTATGGGCCCATCATGTTCCCAAAGTCGAAACTCGGTGTTCGGTTTCTCAACTCCCTTTAGGTCAAACAAATATTTAAGACCCTCAACTGCCTTCCAACAATGGATAAATCCGTCGGTACCCCCAGCAACCAATAGTTTAGTATCTGCTGCAACTGCCCTAACAGTACAACCAAGGGGGCGGGATGATGCAATGGACAACCCCTCTTCCATATCCCACATTCGGACAACTGAGTCATACCCGGCTGTGAAAACAAGCTTGGCAGAAGCCAACAAAAACACGGTTCGAACAGCTTCAGTATGACCATATAGAACATCGATGCTATACCTTCCTAAAAAGGTCTTGCTCCTATAATCCCTCTCCACAAACAGTTCCTTCCACGACTTCTCATCCGAAAACCAAGCTGCAGTCGGTAAACCCCACCTCTCACAATAAAATTCCTTCCAAACCCGATGCTCGGATGCTATGCTATGGAGAGTGGTGGACACACAAGACACTACACCGAGCTCTTTGGGGTCAAGACAATTCAAAATCTCTGATATCAAGGCTGGTGGGAGATCAGTGATCGAACGCCAGACATTCGAAAAAACATCATCAGGAGCTACCTGTTTAGAACTACAAGAGCTCGAGATCCCTTTCTTACGATTACAATCCAATGTCAGTTTCGAAATTTCTAAATCCTCCGTTATGGAATTGGAACTAAAATGATTCGTCTCGGAGCAGTTTGCTAAATCCTTAAATACCAGGGTGCTTTCTTGGCATTCAAATTCCATAAAATGAATGAGTTTTTAACCTAAAACTGTTAGATTCAATGGCTTAAACCAAAATCCCCTGATTGGGAAGCTAAAAATAGGAAATTGAACCCAGAACCTCAATTTACTCTCAAAATCAAAGATGCCCAAAATCTAACAAACCCTCTAAATTCAAACCCAAAGTGTTCAAATCAAACTACAGCAGGTTTTATAAAAATCAGAAAATATCCAATCAATTTGATTGCAGGATCTAATAAAAATCCAGAAAATAAACAATACCTGTGGCGACTGATAATTCGTCCTCCGGATCAGAGAAGCTGTTAGAGTTTTTTTTTTTTAATTGAAAAAAGGGAGAATTCGAGAAATTAGAGAAATATGCATTTGGAATTTGGGGCCAAAAGCGATGAAAGGGTGAGAGAGGAGACCTTTTATCACCGCTATTTCACGGAACGATCGTACGGTAGACATGATTAGATCAGGAAGACAGAGATTGTTTGGGACGTTGGATTAGAATGCGCCACGCACGAACACGTAGGCTGCTGCTTGTTATTATGTATTTTTAATCTTCAGTGAAGTTGTATGTTTTTGGGTAAATTTTGTTATATGTCATTCTATTTTCCGTAAGTTTACAATTATATTACATTTTTTTAAAATTACAATTGAATACAACAATAACAAGCATTGTTAAATATCAAACTATTCTTATAGCATTAAAAATGTTTTTAACTAATTTTTTTCATTTCAAGTGATGATGGTAAAAATTATTTGTATTCCTCGCAAATCAAAGATTTATTCGACGATTCGAATGATGAAAAGATTATTATTAATGAAAAAATTAATTGGAGTTTAAGAAATTCAAATAGATAGTTGTTTGTCATCATAATTCTTTGATTTTTGATGCTCCCTATCTTGTCTGTGATGCGCAACCACAGTAGGTCCATGAATTCAACTGGTGGAGAATGTGTAACAGCAAAGCTCTTTTGGCATTTTATAAAGATGGCTTCCATTGTGTACATCATTGTCCAACCTCAAAAGCTTCAGCTAAACATCGTGTTTCATCGGCTGCAATGGTCGGCGAAGAAGTCCCAGGCGACGGAGAAGCACAAATGTTGCCGGATTCTGCTCGCAAACACCGCGGTTGGACTACTTTCCCCTTCATTGCTGCTCTCTTTCTCTTTCTGCCTATCTCTTCTAATGTTTTACATTCCTAAGAAATAGAACTTGAGGTCATGATTCAACTGGAACAACCGGTAATTGGTTTTTTGGTTTGAACATGAGTTTTTATTGTTTTCGACATATAATTATATCGGACACTCATTTGAGCCTGGATTATCAGAATCGGACTAACAAACAAATGAGAAAAAAAAAAACACAGGGACACTGATAGGATCAAGCATAGCAGTATCAGGGCGGGGAAACAACTTGATTGTGTATATGATCGAGAAATTCCACGTGAGAAGCATTGATGCAACTCAGACATTCAACATTGCAGCTGCTTCCACCAGTTTACTTCCCATGGTTTCTGCAATCCTCGCTGATTCTTTCCTAGGTTGCTATAATGTCATCTGGATGTCTTCTCTCGTCTTGATCCTGGTAAACCACTTCTTTCGTTGTTCCGGTTCTTTGATTTTCTTAAAAGTTTTCATGTCCGACTGTAACACCCCTAATCCTTACCCAACCTGAATACGAGTCTGAAGTGTCACATTGACTTTTCAAATTTTGACTCTTGACAAAATTCAAAGAAAATTTAAAACTTTCATTAAAATAAAGGTAATTTATTTACGTAAATTGACCAAAATAACCAAAATCGATCAGAGCATTCATAACTGACACTTTTCTTATATGCCAACACACTATACACAACAAAATACATACTTTATCAGTTACTTCTGATCTGATCTTCTAGCAGTGTTGTTGTTCTTGCCACTCCTATTTCTATTCTTCCCGATTCCTGGTACCTACGTGTAAATCACTTACACGCTAAGTCACAGACTTAGTGAGGCATAACATAAATATATGTATATACATATATAACAATGAATTCATGAACATGCATTCTTACCATTGATTATGACATTTCAACTTGCATGTATCTATTACACTGTAACATATATGATGATAATATGCACATATATAAAACTTGTATTCTTATGCTAGTTTCACTTAAATTTATCTTTGGATCGCCCATGTACATTATTGAGAACAGAAGGTACGCGAGTACAATGAGGTTGTGCACAACGTTGTCACTACAGCTCGAATAAAATCCCACTAGGGGCACTGAATATTTGTCCCGAAAGACCACTATATCCTGAAGGACCACTGGTAATCCCTCGACTTTTAGCATGTCAATTATACATACAGCTCTCACATTAAGTAACATGGGGTTAATTATAATACAAGTATCATTTTCATATCTCTTCTATCATTTTTCACATAAACACATGATTCACTTCATATGAGTACACATGATCATTTTCATTATTTCCCATACCTGAATGGATTCTCATATAATTGCATTCATTCAAATAAGTTCATATTAAAGCATGAATAAATTATGCATGAAAGCACTATAGCATTAATACATATATAAATATGCATGTACATGAATGTGAAATCATAAGTTTAACTATAAGAGATAGACTCATCGCAAGTCTTATCTCAATACAATTTCATATAAGATATGCACTCACCTTAGCCTTGCTTTGACTCGATTCTAATTTTTCGATTGTTCCTGAACAAGATTACGTTCTATATCTACATAGTAATACATTGATACATATCAGTATACTAATTGATATATTCTAAATTATCACTTCTTAGACTAAAAGAAAGGCTAATTTCATCTCTTAATGAAGGTATGTATCGATGCACTCTATAGTGTATCGATGCATCCCTTAATATGTGCATCGATGCACTATCTATGCATCGGTATACAAAGCACATTCGATGTTTTTATTTTAAGGGGGTGCATCGATGCACTCCTCATGCATCGATGCACTAATTGCATTCGATGTTCATTTATTTGAGAGTGCATCGCATTGAATGTTTGTCGATGCACACAACCCAGAAATGTTATTTTGAGCACGAAAATCCCTTCATAATCCTCTCAACACTTCCTATTTCACCTCCTTTTATGTCTCTAACTTGCATGCACCTACTTAAATTAATTATTATCCATTCAATACCTCTAAAACTTAAAAATCCAATCCTCCATATAAAATTCAAGAATCTCACTCAACTTCCAATATGTTCTAAATCTAATTCTAACACTTCATATCCCTCAATCAAGTTGGTGACAGGTCAAATTCAACTTCCAATTCTCATTATGAACTTTATTTCAAAATTTCATTCAAAAACTCCTAACCTTTAATTCTTTCTACACCCTCCGTCTTGTTGTTTTAAAGCAAATTAAACTTTCCTTAAGCTTAATTAGCACATAATGATCAAAACCAAACTTAAATTTCAACTAACAATCAGCTTATGAGAAGTCTCACCTTTGATATGAGTATTCACGTGTGGAGAATAGAAGAGAAGAAGAGAACTCTGGAAGCTTAGGTGTTTCTCTCTTCACTCCACGTGGAAACATATATAACCATAACAATTAAATTATTTCCCTTTTCAATGACCATTTTGTCCTTCTATTCCTTCTTCTTTTCAATTTGATCATACACCGCATTTTTCATATAAGTCCTTAACTATTCAATTATTATACTTTAATCACCAAATTCTGAAACTTTACAATTTAGTCACTAACCTGGTATTGAGGATGTTACACCGACAGTTATGTCGATGCATATTCGGATATAGTACACAATATGATCCTCCAAATATTTGAAGAATCCCAACAATAGAACTCACTCTTGGAAGTAAATTTCTTACTATCATTTGTCACTGCTTTTGAAGGGGATTATCCTCCTAGCTTTAACAGCCATGCTCGATCCCTTAAGGCCACGAATGTGCCCAACTCCATCAAAAGTTCAATTCCGCATACTTTACTTGGGCATAGCTTTAGGATCTATAGTTGTGGCCGGTACTAGTTTCACCATTTCTTCCATCGGAACAATTCAATTCGATGATTCGAAAGATCAAAGGGTTTTCTTCAACTGGTTTGCTATCACTCTGTATACATCGGTGGTGTTAGGTGCCACAGTGATTGTTTATATCAACGAAAATGTAAGTTGGGTATTCGGATACTGGCTATGTTTTGCGGTGAACGCGATCGGATTAGCCATTTTTGTGTGGGGAAGACTTTATTATTGACAAGTGAAGTGTAAAGGAAGCCCATTTACAAGCTTTGCTCGTGTTGTGATTGCCACCATTGTTAAGAGGAAAGTCACTCTTTCATCAAGAGCTGAAGATTACTGCCATCAGAAAGATGGAGATATGGAGAAACAAGCTTCATTGCCTTCTAAAAGCTTCAGGTATACAATTCCCTCGCGTTATTAACACAATGCTCTTAACGTTTTCAAATCTCGATGTTCAAGATCGCTCAAACATCGTTGAATCAATTAAGCATGCAGGTTTCTAAACCATGCTGCTGCAATGGAAACCGAGGCGGACACTAAGGTGAATGGATCAACGGAAAAACCATGGAGACTATGCTCGGTACAACAAATTGAGGATTTTAAAAAACTATTAAGAATATTCCCACATCTTTCGAGTAGCATATTAATGTACGCCACACTACCAATAATAAGCACCTTCGCATATCAAATTCCCAGCAGGCTCCATGATAGTGTTCGTTTAACCTCAACAGCCAACAAAATCACCTTGATCGATCGGTTCCTTTTTCCATTGTGGCTGAAGATAACACAAAAATCGCTGATGCATCTCCATCGAATCGGACTCAGTCACTTGTTTAACATGGACGGGTGTGGACGTTGCTTCCCCGGTTGAATAAGAAGGCTAAATTTGGGTCAAACCCACCATGTTTCAGACTATCCGGGGTCTATTGTTCCAATGTTCGTACTATGGTTGGTGCCTCAGCTAGTACTGGTTGGACTGGATGAAGCATTTCATTACCCGGGGCAAGTCGCATTGTACCATCAAGAATTCCCGAAGCCACTGAGAAGCACAGCCACCGCAATGATTTTAGTCATTGTCGGACTCGCTTACTATTTAAGCACCACCACTATCGATCTAGTTCAAAGGGTCACAACATAGTTAAAGCATAATATAAACAACGGATGGCTTTGGAATTTGTATCTGATGTTTGCCATGACGCAAATGCTGAAGTTCTTTTATTTTTTGTTCTGCGCGAAGTGTTACAAGTATCGGAGTGTGGAGGAAAGAAATAAAAGCAATAATGAGTTCTACTGCTGAAAAATAATGCTGAAGGTTGAAGAAACAGATAAGCTCCATGATTTCATGAACCTGAGTTTTGGTGGAATTCGAGAATCATTTCGAGTTTTGGTGGAATTCGAGAATCATTTCGAGTTTTATAGGGAAACAAACAGAGAAGAAAGGAATACCTGGCTAGAAGCTTAAAAGTGTATATTAAGCAAAACCAAGATTGCAAAACTTGAGAACTTATATTATCTAAAATATAACCAACAATAAAGAGTAGCAATGTACTCTTTCAGCTAGTTCTTTGTCAGGCAACATAAATAAAAAAAGAAAAGAAACCTGTTGATACTTGCAAAACCAAGAAACACCTATATTTGCTTGTTTTGATTCATGCTCTATTTCGCTTCTTGTTGTAGAGGCGGTAATCGATATCCGATTTTGCCCTACTCCAGAAAGAGGAGCCATGGTAACCATAACAGCAATGAACCACCGAACACCAACACTTCATGAATAAATATTGATAGAAAGATGGTCATTGTACAACGTCACAAATCTAATCATAATGGAGAATTGTTTGAAAATTGAGAACCACCAAGACGGGAGATATAAAATCCGGAATACTTGTAAGCATTCATTCTGAATGCAAACACTAGTTTCCAGAGGCAACACCATTCTTGAAGCGAAAACTCTTCATCATAGATAGCTCCCCTACTAACATTAGAAGAAGAGAGATCATACGAAAGCTTGATATTATCAAAATATTTTACGATTCTTGATTCTGTATCTTCATAATCATGTAAAGAAACATTATTTTCCATGTCCCCAGAAGAAATAAATCGAAAGAACTTTAAATTTCAACTTACAAGACATTAGCTGATCTTGCAATCTCCCGAGTTATCATCAGGATCCTCTTCAGAAACTGCAATGTCATTGGAGAGCCCTGAAATATGATCTTCATCCCCATTGTCTTCATCACTTTCAAGATCAGCACTACTATACCTCCTTTCTACATATCCAAACATCTGTCGCCTCTGTAGGCGGAGAACATGCATTATAACATCAGGGGCAAGTGTTACAGGCGACTGATCTTCTCTACTCTGTCTATTGGACTCCATGATCTGTATATAGAGAATATAAGTACGAGAAAATAGGCATTCGTTAATCACCTCATTAACTATCAAATATGAGATGATACCTTCTTCAAGTTGTTAGGCAGTGCAGGTTCATCACGGGCTGTAGGAGCCCAGAGCTTCACATTTTTATCAATTCCACAAGTAGCAAAAAAAGGCATATATGGATGGGGCTCAAGATGATTTACTACATTTCGGTCACCTAACATTACACGAACAAGCTTAGCGTCCACCTTCTTCCAAATAAATATATGGCCACAATCGGAACCGCTCATCACATATTCATCTTTGGGGCCAAAAAAACTCACTCCTTTGACTGTCCGTGAATTTCTGTGACCCACATAAACTTGCGGCTCCTCATCTCTCTGATGAGTTTCAGATTCGAGAGATACCGGAGGAAGTCCGAGCCCCATGTTCTTTTGGAATAAGTAAATCAACTCATCATTGTAAGAAACAAGTAGTTCACTTGTGTTAGAATAAGCTAACCCTGTAATATGAATATGGTTAGAGTGAAGCAGATGACGAGGGCAAAATACGTTCACTGGTGTGTCTGAAACATTAGATGCATCCAATGGATATCTTCTGATATCATAGACGCGCGCATATTCATCAGAACCTCCTATAGCAAAGTAATTTGGATTCCTTGGATCAATTACGATGGCATTTAACCTCATGTTTAAAGGTTGCCTATTAGCTTCTTCAAACGAGAAGCAGTGGAATAGCTTTGAAGCAGAACCACATCGCAGATCAAACTGCAACACAAAATAGCAAGAATAACAACAAAACCTAAAATGAACTGAAGCTATAAGTTGCAATTTCAATTAAATTAACTAACATGTTGAACTAAGCCATCTTCACCACAACTAAAGAATATGTATGGACTTCCGGGTTCAATAGCAAGGCTGTGCACTCGACCCTGATGCTTTCCCAACTTTCTCGTTTTAACATGACCATTCTCCGAAATCTCTCCAAGCCTCACCTGAAACAAGAGGAAAACTTTTATACAGTCAAACTCATTACTAGATTCTTTGTTTAAATAACTTTTTTTCTGAATGAGTAACAATAACCTAATACTAGCATCTATATTACTTTGGCACTTCATTTTTCTTTAAGTATCCATTTCTGACACCATGTGTTAGACACAATTCCAAAATGGGCATGGGATACCATACTTGACGAACCGATAAAATTTTAAAATTGAATATACTTGTGCCAAACACATAACCATATTCAAACTCTACTTAAGAGGATAAGACCGAGCAACATTGACTAGCATCGAGGATCAAATCAAGTATAAATAGAAGCAAAGAACTTCACTACCTGGCCATCAGCAGCAGAAGTGATTATTCTCTTATCATCATTGAAGGGCATAAATTTTGCCTGAAATATGTTGTCAAAGTGGCCGGAAGCATATGAAAACGTTTTGCTTTTAGCAGCCCAGTTCCAGAACATAACATGTTTATCATCAGAACCAGACACTAGGATGTCACCAGTGGAGTTGAATTCCACAGTGTTCACACATCCCTCATGGCCGTTTAGTTTCCCATAAAGGTCAAAATTTTCCAGTATAACCTGTACCAAAACACAAACAATAAAGAACTACCGAATCTTAATAATACCCAGAATTTTAGATCAAATTTGAGTTCATACTGAAAAACAAATCATACCCATTTCGTATGGAATTCCATCCAACATACACCATCAAAGAAACACACAGAATTTCTAATTATTCTAGAGATGATTCCTTTTCATAATACATTTGATGCAGTGATCAAAGTATTTCAACAGAAGGGGGAAAAAGAAAGACCCAGAAGAATAAGCTATGAAACCTGAGAAGCAGAGAAATAGCGAGCAAAGCTTTTGGGGGTGCAAAGACCCATTTCGCGGTTGATGATCTCTGAAAAACCATGTTTAATTCTCTTTAAACTTGTCGTCTCCATATTTCAATTCATCAATGATGAACCATGTTCACGCTGTACAGATCATTTTAGTTCTGGGTTCTTGCTTGGTGGTGGCTTACGAATTGTGCACCCTTGTGTAGAAAGCGCGACGAATACGTAGCCTTTTCCTGATCGGGTCAAAACCCGTTTCCTTAAGTTTTATTGGATTAAAACTCGTCGGCAAATATCCATTCCTATGTCAGAAGCCACCGAAAAATTGAGTGAACTGAGCCCAATATGGCTTGATTTTGGATTTAAAAAATAGAAATTAAATAACATGTTCAACAAGAATTATTATTATCTTTTAAATGATTTAATCTTTTAATTAGACCCTCAAAATCAAATATTAAAATCTCTAATTACATATTGATATCATATATTCACCTATTATTCATATTCAAACATAAATATAAGAATTAAGCCCTCTAAATATATTAAAACAATTATAAATATAAGCAATAAAAAACACATAATTTTATGTTATGATACAATATATAAAATTTTAGGATGATAAAATTATATTTTAATAAAAATATAAAAAATATTTATTAAAATATATGATTTTATATATATTTTTTAAAACGTTTATCTTGTCAATTCCCTTTTATCTATCATGTATAAAATTACGGATACATATGTGTATAGTATACTCCAATGAAAATAGAGTAGCCAGTGGGTAGGCGGCAAAATTCATGCATACAACTCCATCAAAAGTAGGCAGAATAATTAATTGAGTCCCACCTTGGCACCTCATCAAGCTTCAAACCAAAGGCAGCCATGTCTCTCTCGGTCTTAGAACAGCTGGGTCGACGGTCCACATCAAGCAAATATCACTAGATTTAAAATATTTACAGTAGGACTCCTTTAATAAAATAAATAAATTTAAAAAATAAGAATTTATAACAGATATAGGGACTCTCTAACAATTTAATTAAATTAAGATTCTGAAATTTTAAAATTTAATATATTTTTACAAAATATTATTATGTTTATCGTTGACATGATAACATTTCTCTTTTAGTTGTAACTTTTTTGATTTAAAATTGAATACAAAATTCTTATATTTTTATTTACCATCTAGTTCCATTAATAGTCATTTGTAGTCATGCATTCAAAGAGGTAAATAACATAAGTTTTCGGCAACCAACATAAAAAATTAACTAGTCAAACACTAGTCTATGGTTTTAGACTGCACCAACCACCTGCTTGATGTAATGCTTGACCGTCGGGTAGAAATCCTAAATTCAAGATTGCTTTGTGGTCCACCCCATTTCTGATAACCTAACTTTATAGATATGGTAAAAAATATTTATTTTTTTATTATTTAGTTATTGATAACCTAGACCTTAGTATAGGTAATGTTGAATTTGGAGGGTGAGAGGACTCCCCTCCCAAGGATTTGGGCCAAAATGTCCACAGTGTCAATTTGCATTCAACTTTCGGCCAAACCATTACGCCCGCACTACTTAGCACAGCATAGGTGACACCGCCCATCTTCATGGCTCACAAAGGATCGCCTTTGGATCTACAACTCCAATGTGATTGAATCATGTGCCAAGTTGATGAATCTATATCATACATTATCTATGTCCAATATATATATATATATATATATATATATATATATATATATATAAATATGTGAGAATAATGAGGCGAAAGCCCTGTGTCACAATATTATTGTTTTATTTTCAAAAGATGTATATAATAAGATGTGCAACTATATTATTGAAAACATGAGACTTAATACTTTTTTTTTAATAATTCCTACTTAGTGGAGGGGTCATATAAATTTTATTTTTAATATGTATTGAACCTAAAATCTAAGAGATACAAGATATCAACTAAGAATTTTTAACTAAAAATTATTGACAACGTTAGACGTAATATTAATTTACTTGGTTTATTGATTTGTAACATTTACTCGAAATAGTGCTTGTGTTAACGGTTTAGGTGCATGCATTTGTCATGCTTGGAAAGCAACCAAATCAACTCGCGTACTACATACGTTAAGAAATAGGGATTATGATTAGGTTTGTTGTTTCATGGAGCGTTAGAATAGTATACGATACCAATGAATTGAAAACGGCCGTTTGTTTCTCAATTCCGTTACCGGATCCTCTCTGTCCTTATCCGTAACAGAATGAGAAAACCGAAAGTCCGTTACCAACCATATGCCTTATTGTCTTGTCCTTTTCTTTCTTTGCTTTTTTCTCACTTCCTTCCTTTTCTTTGCCTCTATGGTTTAAATTAGGGTTAAGCAAAATAAGTTTAATTTGATTTGTACGACAGATTAAGTCATCTAACTGCAATCAAAACTAATCATTACGATGTACAAACAAACCAATTTATAATAATTAGTTTTATAGCAAAAAAATAAATTTAAACATAACGAAGAGAATGTGTCTTTTTCTGTTAAAGATTATTATGTGGTGGAACGAGATAAGATAAAACAATTTTTGTTACCAATATTGTTTGGATTATAATAATTTATTTTATTATTGTATTAACTGTTTCATGAAAAGGCGATTATTATTTCAAGCTATATTGTATATTAACTACCATATTAAGGATTTATTTAACTCTATAGATTTAATGTTTTAGGGAAATATCTCTAAAACGGATGTTATAACACACATAATTTTATAAAATGTAAAATTTAAAATATTCGATAAATTTGAAGCAAGTCATGCAGTGGGAATGCATATTAGTGGATTCTTTTCGTAACTGAAGATGCTATCAATACGGCACAGTTTTCTATTCAACTTTCACTTTTATTTTCTTTAAATAAAATATCTATATTTTTTTTATTAATTTAGTGAGTTCTTTCACTGTCAAAAATTTGACCAGTCAACTAACATGATTGATTTCATATGAACATCAAATGACAATTATCCACTTGTCTCACCATTGAGCTTCTACAAGGTCCACAAATTAGAAAGGGTGATTTCAAATTTGGTCCCTTAATTGTATTTATTAGTAGTGTATTATAATATAAATATATCTATCTGTAGCTTATTAATGCTGATTAATTGTAACCGTTTTGGTTAATTTGTTATAACTGAATCATGTACAGTTGGGCTAGGTGTTAGATATAGTGGATCTGCCCACTATACATGATCCATGAGGATATTTTGTAATTTTGGAATTCTGTTGCATTTTGTTATTTTTCCAGTAAAGATGCGTTATTTCCTTTTTGTTTGGTCCTCTTTCTCTTTTTCAGTGCCATTGCTAGGTTTATGTTGCTTTGCTATCATGGTATCATTCGCCTGAGATCCTGCGGCCTTTTTTTCTTCCGTTCTGCGTACCAGCTTTCTCGTCGATTTCTCTCCGATTGCTCGTCGATTTGGATTTTTTATTCATCACGTCTTTTTCCCTGCTACTCTCCTTTGGTTATGCTCTTCGATTCTGGTGAGATTGTTCTATTACTGGTTTCAATTAACCTCGTGATTCTGCATCTTGATTCATCTTTGTTCTTTGGCATTTTTCACTTCCGTTCTTCATCAATTATGTTGCTACTCTTTCACTTGCCCTAATAGTTCAAATTGAGGCAAATCTTACTGTTGTTTTCCTTCAGACGCTTGATAAAATCGATTTTCATCCTTGCTGTGTTCTCAGGTTGATTATCGTGTTGTCTCTGGTATATGCTCGCATTATTGATTTTTCCTTGCTCTACGGTGGATCTTTGACTCTAGTGAGATCGTTTTTTGTTTCTTGCTGGTTTAGTTGTCTGCGTCTTGTTTCTTGCTGATCTCTGGTTGATAGCTTACGATTTGCTCTCTTCCTGTTTTGCGTTATGTATGGCAAATACTGTGGATGAAAATAGTTTAAATGTTGCTTGTAGTTCTACTATTACTGCCTCTAATAGGTTGTTCTCTACTAAAAAGATTAATGTCACTCTAGATGATCATAATTACCTGATTTGGCATCAGCAGATTTTCCTCACTATTAAAACACATAAACTTCAGAAGTATATAGACTCACATATTTCTTGGCCTACACAGTATGTTACTTCTGAGGGAATAATTAGTTTGAATCCTGAATATGAGCTGTATGAGGAGCAAGATGGAGCTATTGCCTTATGGTTATTTTCTACTGTTAGTGAGGAAGTTTTACCTCATCTTATAGGCCTTAATATTGCAGCTGAAATCTGGAGTACACTGCATAGATTATATAGTCGCAAGACTACTTCTAGGTTAATATCTTATAAGAGAATGCTTCATTCTCAGAGGAAGGGAGAGATAACTATGAGAGACTACTTGATGAAAATAAAGTCTGTTTATGATAATCTAGCTAGCTGTGGAGAGATAATATCAGAACATGAACATATCACTGCTATTTTGAATGGGTTACCACCTGAGTTTGAACAGGTTATCACTGTTATAACTGCTACTCCCACTCCTCCAGATTTAAGGTCTGTGAGCACCATACTCCTAGATGCTGACACTAGACAGACACAGTCTTTTAATCATGTCACAACATGTGCTCATATTGCTACTCAAGCTACAAACGATCAAGTGATCTCTAATAATAAGTCAGAGTACCAAAACAAGGGTGAATTTCTTGATAATGCTAGTCAAAATTTTAATAATAATAATAATAGTAATAGGGCTAGAGACCGAGGGCATTTTTCATCCTCTAGACCACAGTGTTAATTTTATGGTAGAATGGGACATCTTGTGGAAAAATACTAATATAGTTTTGCCATGAGTTACAAGAATAAGTCATCTCGACCTCCACAAAATAGCAATAATAAAGGCTATTCTAATGTTCAAGCCAATGTCAGATCATATAATTCAAGCAATGACAAATTCACTCCTTATAATTTCCCCTATAACTCGATGTATCATGGCTCTTCACCTTCAATAACAGCCCCTCAAGGTTTTATTTTTCATCCACAAGTTTTTCCCTTTAATTTTCACCATCAGGTCTGCCCTCCTCCTTACAATATGCCCTCATTTTCTTCTGGGCATCCATCACAATTCACAGCTTCTACTCAACCTCATGTCCCATCTCAAACTTACATAGCTACACCTGAAACTGTAGATGATAATGCTT